CCTCCACAACTAGACTGAAGAACAAAGAGACAGCAACTTGTCTGTTCTCCTTCCCCCAATTCCCCAGCGCTGTTCCCATCCCCCAATTCCCCAATAATTAAAAAAAAATAAAAAATTTAAAAAATGAAAAAAAAAAAAAAAACAGAGGGCTTTGTTAGTAAAACAGTATAAAATATTGGATTGTTGGAAAAGTCATGACATGTTTGCGACACAAGCACTAGTTCATTTTCGCACCTATGTTATTGCTATGTCATTTGACAGCTGACAGTTCTAACTTCATTCTAAAAAAAAATTGAGCAATTTGGTTGAGTTTTGGAGATTTTACAAGTTGAAGATGGAAGACCAAACTGTGCATTTTCGTCATATTTTACTTCAATAAAGGAAAGAACACGTGTCAAGCTTGTGAAAAGTTGCATAAAGTTTATGGTGACAATGCTCTACAAGAACGTCAGTGCCAACGATGGTTCATGAAATTCTGTGCTGGTGTTTTTATCTCAACAACGCTCCTCGGTCAAGGAGGCCCACCAGGGTTGATGACAACAAAATAAAGGCATTGATTGAGTCAAACCCATGTTACACGACACAAGAGATTGCAGAAACATTGAACATCCATCATTCAAGTGTTCACGACCACCTGAAGTTGGGATACAGAAGCAAACTCGATATTTGGATTCCGCATGAACTCAAAGAAGTTCATTTGATGGTGCGTATAAACATCTACAATATGCTCATTAAACGTGAGGAAAACGATCCTTTTCTGAAGCAACTGATAACTGCTGATAAGTGGATTGTTTACAACAATGTGATGCACAAACGGTCTTGGTCTCGACATGATGATTCGCCTCAAATGACATCAAAAGCAGACAATCATCAGAGGAAGGTTATGCTCTCAGGGTGGTGGGATTTTAAACGTGCCATGTTTTTTGAGCTCCTACCAAGGAACTAAACAATCAATTCGAATGTGTACTGTCAGTAATTAGACAGTTTGAAAGAATCCATCATCCAGAAACGTTCAGAGCTTGTGAATTGTAAAGGAGTTGTGTTCCCTTGTAACAACGTGAGACCACACACAAGTTTGATCACCTGTCAAAAATTATTGGAGCTTGGATGGGATGTGTTGCCACACCTACCATATTTGCCTGATTTTGCGCCGTCAGACTTCCAATTGTTTCGCTCTCTTCAAAACTCCTTGCGTGGTATAACATTCAATTCAGATGAGGTTGTAAATCAGCACCTTGTTCAGTTTTTCGCAAATAAAGACAGGTCCTTCTAAGAACGAGGAATTATGAAGCTCACTGAAAGATGGCAAAAGGTTATTGAACAAAACAGGCAATATTGATTGATCTTTATTCTTTTTATATATAAATGACCTTTGAAAAACATAGACAAAATACATCATGAGTTTTCCAACAACCCAATAGTTGAAGAGAGTATTCTGTAGTCAGATGGTGTAGGTTTCAATTTCAGCTTTGTACTTACTTGTCAGGTTAACTACTCTGAGCTTTAGTTTTGTCATCTGAAAATTGGGAATAATATTGCGTCTGTCTCATAGGGTTATTATAAGTATTAAATAAAGTATGTAAAGGGCTTGGTGAAGTTCCTAGTACAACTGTTAGTGCTCAATAAATTTTTTTACTACCTATAATTATGCAAACTAAGGTAAAAATTTCACTAAAGTAAATACCTGAATAGATTAAATAACCCCTTTGGTTCTTAGGGGCAAAATTTTGTTAAATATTACATAATCAAAACTTATCTGGGCTACTATGAAGCTTCTAAATATACTATTCTACACTGTCATTGAAAAATTATAAAAATGTTTACACTTTTAGATAACTAATAGGTTCTATTTCAATATTATTGTTTAGTTTAAAAACTCACACATCTCATAAATATAGTAGAGAAAAAACATGGGGTCAGTCTAGATTTGATGAAAAAATTCGAACTTTTTATTTCTCTGAAGTTCAATTTCTAACTAGAAATTGAGGAATTAGTGAGTGATCTGTAAGATCCTATCCAGTTCTAAGATTTTATGTTACTAATAGTTGATTATCATGGTGATTTTAAAAATTCACTTAGGGTCGGCCGAGTGGCGCGATGGTTAAGAACTCGCTTGGGATGCCAGAGGGCCCCGGTTCGGATCCCACATATGAGGGCCAGTGACGCTGCCCTCCACAGCTAAGATGCTGAACAACAGCTCAACCTGGAGCTGGACTGCCATGAGTCGCCGGCGACGGCATGGGCTGCAGTCCCTGTGGCAGTGGATTGCCATGGGCTACCGTGTGTGGCCAGCAGCCAGTGTGAGCGGCCAGCAGCCAGTGTGAGCGGCCAGCAGCCGCAGTGAGCGGCCGTCCAGAAGTCGGCGACTGATCTGCCTCGCCAGAGAGGAGCGCAATGATGGTGCCAACTTGGGCCAGTGAAGCAACGTCCTCCACAACTAGATTGAGGAGCAAAACGACAGCAACTTGTCTGTTCCCCTTTCCCCAATTCCCCAGCACTGTTCCCATCCCCCCAATTCCCCAATAAAAAATCTTAAAAAAAAAAAAATTTCACTTAACTATTGTTTACTGACTTCTAATGTGCACTGAGCAAAAAACTCTATTCAAAGAGAAAATTTTAACAAAGTTAGATTTAACTGAAAATAAGGTCCTAGTGAGAGACTTATTAAAACTGAAATAATTGCTGCGAGAATACAATTTAATTTTTTATAATAAATATATTGAAATACTGTCTAAACACGATGACATTAAGATATATTTTCGAGAGCTCATTTTGATTTTTAAATATAAGTACTATTATGATAGAATAGATTAATATTATGAATTTGTGATAGGTATAATTTAATGTTTATTGAATGTTTTTATACTTAATAATTATTAGCTAGAATTAATCACTCTACTATTCTGTGATGTAGTAGGACCTATTATCACCATTTTACAGAAAACTGAGGCTCAAGTTTATAAGGTTATTTATTGAGCACTTACCATAGCAAAGTACTATGCTAAAAGTGTTTTACATATTATTTTATTTAATTCTTTCAACAACCCTGTGATTCCGTTACTTTCTCCAGTTCACACAAAAAATAAGACTCGGGCATTAAATAAGCTTACCAAGATTACAAATATACTAAGTGGCTGAGCAAGGACTCAAACCTACATGTACTGATTCCAAAGCTCATTATTATTAAAATAGGAACTCTCTCAAGGTAACAAACAAAGCTGCCTCCTTTCTTCATTAGTCATAGCTTTAAATCTTTTTTGTTTTTGACAAGTTAACAAATTAAAGACGCTAAAAGAAGTTTGTTCATTTTTCTCAATTTTTTCTGGTTGAAATTTAATTAAAGGCACTCCCTAACACACAAAAGCCCTCCTGCAAGTAATCTAAAGATCTCTAATCTCAAAAGAAATCTAGAGCTCTAACTATGCAGTCATTGCCCACTGAGAAAACATTCTGTAAATAGTCAAAAAGTGGAGCTTGAGGAGAGGAAAAAATTGCAAATAGCTCAGGGAAAATAATTCTAAAAATTTACTTCTAGCTTTCTAAGGTGGGTGCCCTGATCTCATTACAAATTATCCCTATTGACCTAAAAATTTTTTTCATTTTACTTTCCCTTACCCTATCTGAAATTTCATCAGCGAAATTTTCATGTAGTTAATAAGCACTGTCTCTCAAAAAGACAAAAAAAAAAAACAAGAAAGAAAACCTCCGGTGAGCATATCAGTCATTAACAAATTTGTGTTAATTTATATAAAAATAGCTTTCTTCCTTTAAGATAAATTAAAAACAGCTATCCTGAAGTTTAATTTAGAAGTGAGAAATCAAGTATATTTTAGGCTCACAGCACTTAAAAGGGATTAGCAGCCTGACTCAGCCAGATGCTGCAGTGAACATGGAGGGCAAGGAATGCCCTAGGAAAGTACACTAGTGGAGGGCTGGGGATGATGTTACACCAGGAAGATTGCCAAACATATACCACCTACTTCAGAGCTTTTCCCAGACTGGGATTTTGCCAATGGAAGAAAGATAACTTATTTTCCTAATGTCTCCTGGGAACTCAAAACAAAAGTTTCCTTTCAGTATGTACAACTATACTATGGATTAAACAAGCTTTTGGGCATTTTTTTCATTTTTTTTTTAGCTGAGCCATCCTGCCACCTGTTGGCAGCTCAGCGGCAGCTCAACTCAGGCAGGGAATCGAACCGCTGTTGCTCAGAGCTCACACTCTTGAGCGAGCTCTTAACCAACTGAGCCACTCGGCCGGCCCTTAAATAAGCTTTTTGTGATTACACTGGGAAAATACTACTTTAGTTTCCATATACAAAATGGGTTTCAATATCTATTGACCTAACCCATTGCTGATTTGGAGATTAAAAGTACATTTTTAAGTTACAGACACCTTTTTAAGAAATAATTTGAATGCAGTGAGAAGTATTATTCCATCCTTTCCTATTATAATTCTATCAATTTGCATTACCCTTTTACTATATGAAAGTAAAGTTTTGAAGAATGAAGATATTAAATAACTAGGTATAAAATGTTCTTTTCTAACAGGTAGCCATAAACACAACAAACTACCTATATATAGTGTCATTTGACTTTTTCCTTAATTTGTAATGGACAATAGTTAACTTTTAGAGCTGTTACTTTCAATTAGTTAAGAATAAAATTACCTTCAGGCAGTTGCTCAAGTTTAAATTCCAGTCCTCAAGCATTCTACTACCCCCCAAAATGCCCTCTCTTGTCCACTGAAGTTCTTCCTTTTGGGGGCACTAAATCATAATAGTTGTAGCTTCATTTATGTGAAAACTATATGTCTTCATAGCAGCATTTTTTTCTGTAATGAGAAGGTATCCAACGTATGCTTTATTTTCCTACACATAAAGAAAAATACTTCATTTTGTTATTCAGGTTTTATTATAAAATAGCCATTACCAGCCTGGTATAGTGGAACTGTCAGTTGAATCAATTAAAAGAATTGAAGACTAGGACTGACTTTACAGATAACTACCTTTGTCCTGTGACAGATGACTTAATCTGTTCCCTTATCTGAAATTAAGACATTTGGGCCAAGGTTTTGTTTCAACTCTCACATTCTAGTACTACTGAAACAAAGACCTCTGCAGCAAATTACATTTTTCTCCACAATAAAAATATTTACTAATATGGCATCTTCTGGAGTCAATGGAAGCTTGAGAATAAAGGCCCTCCTCCCCAAACTCCGCCCCTTATAAAATCCTGGAATTGATTTGACAAGCTTATTTCTTTAGCAAGTACTATTGGGATTGGATGAAGAGAATGGAAGAAAGAAGAAATATGTAGTCTAGACAGTTAATGATTGGACTTTACAACACACACTAAAGTAATGAAATTTTGCTGGCAAATTGCTTTCTAGAGTGTTTCATATTACATTTAAAAGTGGATTTTACCTTATATCAAAAGGCAAAGATTAGGAAGAAAGTGTTAAATTACAAGTTCAATATTTTTATTCACAGGAGAAAAGGGCTTTTTATTGTTTATACATACTGAATACATGGCAGAGGGGAAGAGACTATTCAGGCTGTAGTCACTCATATCTCTATGGGCTGTATTTGGTTTTGTTCTTGCTGTTTTGATTTTGTTCAATAGCATTTCTATTCGTTCAAAATTTTACAGGCAATCCTCAACTGCAATTTCTAAAAATCTGTCTTAACATCTTATTGTTTTCTCTTATAAACTTTTGTTTTTAAATTGTTTTTTCAGTTACAGTTGACATTCAATATTGTTTTATATTAGTTTCAGATGTACAGCATAGTGGTTAGACATTTATAATTTATGCAGTGATCCCCCCATTAGTCTAGTACACACCTGGCACTATACATAGTTGTTGCAACATTATTGACTATATTCTCTATGCTGGACTTGACATCCCCATGACTATTTTCTAATTACCAATTTGTATTTCTTAATCCCTTCATCTTTTTCACCAGCTCTCCAACCCCTTTCACATCTAGCAACGATCAGTTTGTTCTCTGTATCACAGAGTCTGTTTCTGTTTTGTTTATTCTTTTGTTCTTTAGATTCCAGATATAAGTGAGATCACTTTCTTATAGAATTTTACGTAGTAAAATTTATCCATTAAAACCAAGTCTGAGAATAAATCTCCAAAAGGACAACTAAAGGATAAAGCCACTTGAGTTCTAGAGTTTCTCAATTCTATGTACTTTGGTTAGTGTCTCGATTTAAAAGATCTTGAAATCTACTCAATATCATATCAATGTCAGATATTACTAACTATATTAAAAAACATTGCTCAAAAGTACTTTAGAAAATAAAATTCCTCTCATCTCTTATGGTAGGTAAACGACAATGTACCTTTTATTTATTTATTCATTTTTAAGCTGAGCCATCCTGCCAGCGGCTGCTCAGCTCAGGCAGGGAATCAAACCACTGTTGCTCAGAGCTCACACTCTTGAGCGAGCTCTTAACCAACTGAGCCACTCAGCCGGCCCTTTGACAATGTACCTTTTATGATGCATATAAAATTAAAATACATCAGTGATGTCAAAGTTAAATCGACTCCTAGCTCACAAATATTTTATACAATAATTTATTTTTTTAAAGGTGGGGTTTAAAAGTTATAGCTGTTAAGTCAACATCAAAATGTTTAATGTATGCAAATATATATATATAAACAATAAGTTGGTTTAACTTTTCACTTTTCAGTGAAAAAAATTTAAGACTAGTGTTCACAATGTCTCGTTTATCTAAGGTTTGTCCTCTCTATAAATTTTCCTGTAATCTTAGTTTCTACCCATTTCTTACATTGTTTATACACACCTCTTTTTCCCTCTTCTCTTTGAGAACTTTACAAATTATTTCATATAACCCTCACAGTGACTCTGAGGTAGATATTATCTCCACTTATAGATAAGAAAACCAAAGCTATCAAGTAACTTGTTTAAGATCATTAGAACTCAAATTCAAAACTAAGTAGGAAAAAAAAAAAACACCAGAACAATTAGGACTCCAAAGCCCATGCAGTTTTTACACCATACCACATCATGCCATCATATATGGGGGGGAAAAAAAGCTATAATAAAGAGAAATATATTTTCCAAGCTGTGGTTCTCCAGGTAACAGTGTGTCTGCATGAAGACCATAGTAAATGAATCATATAGGAAATTATTAAGAACCAAAAGCTTGTAGTTAATATTCTAAGAAAACTTAAGAAAAACTCAAAATAAAAGCACTAACTATCCTAGGTATTGCATGGAGACAACACCAAATATAAGACATGTCCCTGTTGAAAAACACCAAAACCATCATACTGGTGTTCAGTTATTTTGGAACACTTATCTAATTTTCCCTTAACTAAAGGTCTCTGTCAAATGAAAAATGTATTTCAGTGAATTCAATATTTCTGCATTGCCAATTGAAGTTTTATCTTTTTAAGCATTCAGGTTCTGTATCTTAATGATATTTTCCAATTTGAATTAAGATTAACCTATATTGACTCTTACCAGGTACTGTATTAATTTTCATAAATTTCAAATAAATACTTTAAAATGTGTTAATCTACTGATTAACTATACCTTTTAAAAATATTTTTAAATTCTTTTTAAAAGATTTTTAACCAGTGAGATATGATCACTACAAAAATTATCTGAAAAAAACTTAATTGAAGATTTCAGGTTCAATGAAATTTAATTTAGGCAATTTTACTGTTGTAAATCAAAAATCACTTATGATTAAAGAGAATGTTTAAAACTATCAAATTTCTTTCCACTTCAACCAAATTAATAAAATACGGATTAAATAGGACTTCAATTAACAGACTGTTTCAAGCTTCAGGTGGTCTAACTTATTTAAAGAATGCAGTTCTCACCATTACAACGAATCATATGGTTAAATAATAACTGATTTTATTTGCCAGCCCAGTCCCTTCCGAGGGTTCAGCACAGAGGTTTTCTAATTTTATTTCTCTAACCATGAGGCTTTTCTCTTATTTGTACACATTGGCAAAGCTAGTTTAACTAACTTCTAAATGATGAGGTAATCATTAACATTTACTATATGGCATTGAATTCTCACAAATGACCAATGTGTGGCACAGAGAGGTTAATAAATAAGTACCTGAGGCAGGATTCGAACCCAGGAATTTGGGTTCCGGGGCCTGCATTTTAACAAAGTGAGCAAACTGAAAACAGACCTGGCTTCATTGTCATTGCTCTCTATTTTTTTTTTTTTTGCTTAAATCATTTCTCATGTTCTATAGTTGAATGGAAATACCGGGCGTCTATTTAACTGAGGTACATCTTTAAGCAACTTGTAAAAAATAAAAAAAGGAAAGCTTTAGTTGTTTCCACCTGCACACATACCGCTCTGCCCACAAATTTTGCAATCCAGTTCTGCCTGATTCTAAACTGCTGTCTCTTTAAGTCCCCCCTCTTGTAGATTTTCTGGCGAACGCCTCAAAGAGTGACTTTGAGAACTGGATAGTATCTCTCCACCCATCCTCCCTCAGAAAGGCAACTAAATTCAATTAGAATAATTTTCGGGCATTGAGAATAAGACATAGGCCTTTGGATAACGTCAAGACCAAAAAAAGTTAAAAAGCGAGTGTGTGTGGGAGGACGCCTTTCCCCCTTCTAACGGTAAAGATATAAAGGGGTTCATAGAGGGGAAAAAAACTAAAAAGCGGGGCGCGGGGCAGCGCGAAGGACCACACACTGGGCGCTCCCGCGCAAGGGGTCCGGGAGGGGTTCTTCTCCGCGACAGCGGCGCGTTCTCCGGCTCAGCAACCCTACTTCAAGACACCTAACCTCCGCCTTCTCCAGCCTGCCTCCCCTGGGCCCGCGAGCCGGGTACCGGGAGAGAAGTAGTAGGCCTCGCCAAGTAGGATCCCGAGAAGGACCCGAGGAAGGGCGCCTAAGGCGCCACCAGGGTCTGGATGCGACGGGGGAGCGGGGCCGGTTGCTCAGGGACCCGGCGGGTCAGGAGGTGACGGGAGTCAGGAGAAAGGGAGGGGCGGCTGGGAAGTAGCGTCCGGTCTGTCGGCTCGCAGACAGCTCTGCCAAACCTCCGACTCCCCCAGTCCCGCCGCCGCCGAGAGCCCTACAGGGCG